TTCAAAAATATTATATTTTTCATTTAAAATTGCTTAAAAACAAACCAAAAAACAAACATAAAGAGAGCATTTTCCATGAATTATCTCCAAAGCCGAACTCGCCCTGCCTTTCATGTGAACTTGACCATCGACCTTTCACCCCGACCCATAACTGGTATGTGACCCTACAGGTGAGCGTTGTGAGGTGGTGAAAGACGTGTGCCAGAGCAACCTTCAATGCCAGAATGGTGGCATATGTGTAAACGGCCAGTGTGTGTGTACATCCGGCCACAAAGGCCTGAACTGTGAAGAAGGTAAGTCTTGACTAGCTACATATCCCTGTATACCAAATATTATATCAAAGCCAGAAATAGCAGAATGTGTAGGGAAAAATTGTTTTATTGTATTGTTCATTAATGACTATACAATTTTAATTGCAGCCAGTTTGTCTGAAAGACGTTCTGAAAACAATTCTCCAAATGTCCAAAGCATTTGTCCCCCTATAGCACATTTACTTACAGCATACACCTGCATCCTATCGACAAAGATATTCGTCATCAAGCAGCATTGCACTGTATGCTGGGAGGGTAAACCCTAAGTGATTATGTATGTCTTACCCCTGCGCTCTCATGGCTATATCCTGCACACACAGGCCAGGTCTCCATCTTTCCCGAGGCCCTGTGGAATTTGGAAGCTAGCGAGGCAAATGGTACAGTATCTCAATATTCAGTCTGCCTGACACGACCGTGACTAACAGGGGCCCGTCTGAGCTCGAGGGGCCCCATGTCCCTTCCAAGCTCAACCTCAACTACCTATTGCCTAACACATGTTCGCGCATAAAAACAAACCAAACATGCGTCTGTACTCAACTGGCAACTGAGGCTCTTATCCCCATTGGAAAGTTGGGAGAGGGGAATTCTGCATCAATGCTAAAAGGTAATATGATGGTAGAATGTAGTTGGGAGATCAACTGATTTGTGCTGCCTGTTTTTGGACCTATACCTAATGTGGAATTCCCCTTGTTTTTGTTTTTCCTTTTCCCTTTTGTTACGTCAATGTCTGTAAGATGGTTACTCACAACTTAAATCTTGTTTCCGTCTCCTTCAAGAATGCCTGTCTATAAAACAAGACAATATGCAAAACAAATAATTTTCCTCTTCAAGTCAGAACATTTAGTCTGCTCCACACATTTACGCTGTTACTAACAACTGAACTGTCTGTTGAAAGCGCAGTGCGGTGGTGTTTGGGGGTGTTGAAGTGGATTTCAACCATATTCTTTACTTAATGTGGTATTTGTGCATGGGCCCATGGGGAGTTCACTTTGAAAGGTTGGAGATGGTATAGTGTGTGAGGAATGTCAATAATGTGGTCATGTTGTGGTGAGGACTGTCAAATGAGTTTGCATCATGGAGCCTGGTTCATATAGAAATTTTTAATTGTTTTTGTTTCTGAAATTGCCCAAGAGTGTCTAACAGCAGACCTCCACTGTGGAGTCCGGTACAGGCTCCGCTCTCAGGTCTTCTCCACTGTCAGGATCCGGAAGCTGCTTAAATCAGCTGTGTTGAAGCAGGGAGATATTAAATCATACAGGACAGGGGTTAACTTTCTCCAGGAGAGGGTTGGGAAACACTGTCGTAGTAACGATACATAAACTTCAATTCAACTAAGATGAATTCATACAGCCAGCAAAGTCTTTGCACGCTGTTGAAAGTGTGAAACCAGCTAATGTTACACCGAACGGTCATAGTCAACATATTAAGACAAATCCAGACCTATGCCCTTGCTAAATGCTTTACAAAAAAAAGGTTAATAAAGCCGAACACACAGTAGCTTACTTATCCAAAGAAAAAAAAGCTAATCCTACCACTTAATCATACCTATGTATAACGACAAATAACCTAATTTACGCATGAGTAACATTCTGTAATTTGTGTTATTTATATTGATAGCGGTAGCTATTTTGACGGCGAACATATACCAAGATCAATGCATTCAAACTTTTCTCAATGTTACCGTTGTCACGAGAGTAGCGAAAAAACACGTTACGTCCTGTGGGGGACATAAAAAAAAAAGTTTATTTATGGTTATTTCCTGTCTTGACACTCTATGCTTGAGAGTGGAGCCTGCACCGGAAGCTACTCCACAGTCGAGGTCTGCAGCAGTATTTGCAAACGGATTTGTGTACATTGCTAAATTTAGAATTATATTTTATTTCATTTATGTGTTTAAAGTGAGACTAGCTTTTGAGATACACATGAAAAACGGAACGTTGAATTCCTGACCAATAAAACACAACTGCTCATTTATACACTCTTTGTTTTTGCTACTACATATTTGTTTGGTCTGGTATGTAGTTTATGGTGATAATGATAGCTAATGCTAATAGCTAATGCTAGCAAACTTTTGACAGATATTGCTTACTGAGTCAGTTTGCGGACTTTATAATCTTTCTTTATTTGTGCTACTGCTAGCTATATGTTAGCAGAAGTCACCAAAAATTAGCTGTAGCAGCAAAATCCCAAAGTGTAACTGAGCATGGGGGTGTTTTATTGTTTATGAATTAAACTTTTCATTGGAGAAAGAATGAGATATTTCTTCTTGTTAAAATTACAAAGTCTTTAAGCTTTAAACACCACCAAAAAATTTAATACTGTGCTAAGTGATTCAAATGAAAGAATACCTCTTTGTCGATAACTGTTATCTAACCAAGCCAGTGTAACACCAAAACCTGTGACCTATCAGATTCTGTGACTACATCCAAACGACGATGTTTTCCTAACCATAACCAAGTACTTTTGGTGCCTAAATCCAACCAAACTGCAACCGCTTTACATCGTCAACAAAGCCTCTTGCGCTTAACTTGCCATTTGGGTCACAGAATCTGATAGGTCACACGTTTTGGTGTCACACTTGTCTCGCCAGGGTTTCTTCCATGCTTTCACCACTGGATGGCACCATAACAGTGAGGATGAAAGTTCACAGTATCCTTATTATTTGAATATTGTATTGATTTTTATTTACTGTATTTTCTGTAGATTCACCCTATCCGTATGCAGCTCATTTCCACAATGATGGATACATTGCCCTTCCTAAATCCATTTTTCCAAGGAGGTAACTGTAGTTTGCTTTTCTACACATTCTCACAGATATATCATAAGGAGATGATGTAACAATGCACCATGGGTAAAATTATTGTTATTTTTCTGTTTTAGCGCTCATGACTCACCAGAGACCATCGAACTGGAGATTAACACTGACTCCTCTGAGGGCCTGATCTTGTGGCAGGGAGTAGTAAGTCCCATCCTATCTTGAGCCGTGGTTTCAACTTGATACTCGCATCTACCCTTGCACCTTTTCATCCTCACCATAACTTTGCTACATCAGCACTTTTAATCATACCCATTTTCCTCAGTGACACACATTAATGTTCTCATACCATTCAGTGAGTTTTGGACTTACATGTCAACAATAATACGTCACTTACGCATTACTGCGTTTTCTTTCATTTCAAGGTTTCACTGGCTGTTGAGCAGCATTCAACATCAAACTGTCTAATTCATACTTGTATATCTGAGGCTGTAACATTGTTGGGCATGTTGGCTGCGAGCCTGGCTCTATCTGACACCACTAAATAAATGCATGTTGCTTCCCTAACTCACCCTCCATTCTCCTCAGGAAACCAATGGCGCACGCATTTTGCGAAAGGTGCATGCTAGTAAAAAGGTATCCACTCAATCACAAGACACTCCGTATTTATTTGTTTCATGACATGTGCTGTCCATGCAAATATGTATGGTAGAACAATTACAAGATATATCTGGAGAACCACATGATTTGAAAGGAAACTATGTGTGTTTATATTGCACAATGTGTATGATGGCTTTTCTTGTCATTATTGTGCATGAAAGGTTTTATGTCACACTACATACTGTTGGGAGAAATCTCTGGAGTCATTTTAGTGCCAACACAAATTAAATCTGAATTCATTAGTCTTGAATTTGAAATGTTCAAACTGAATTGTAGGTGACATTTGTAATTGTATTTCACAGATTGAAAATGAATCTAATGGTTTGAAATGGGGGTTTTTTTTTCAATTTTTTTTTTCAGTTTCTGTTTTAACTCAACTATTATTCAATTCAGATTTAAGTTGTGCTGTCACTGAAATAACATATTGATCTGTCTGCATTGCCTGATGTTTACTATTATAATACTTAGTACGAAAAATTACTGCAGGGCAGTTGGTCAGTGGTTCACAGCATTTAGTCACACAACATTTTCTACCTCTGATGACTAAACACATTCATTTCCAGGAACTTGGAGAACACGGCAAAGGCAAAGACTTCATTAGCCTCGGGCTACAAAATGGACACCTTGTTTTCAGGTGACTCATCCCATTAAACCTGTAGTTCTGTTGACATCTAGATGAGTATTATTATTTTCAGCTCATGTTAATGTTGTAGTAATGCTGATGATTTGAATGATATCCAGTTACCAGTTGGGCAGCGGAGAAGCAGAGATTTTGTCCCAGAAGTCCATCAATGATGGGAGATGGCATAAAATCACAGCCGTCAGGTATGTTTGCAAATTACGTATGTTTAGATATACACTGTACAATATGAATGTCCAAACTAACCATTCAAAGTTTCAGTAGGTGCTCTTTTCAACAAAGTTCTTGCACACAAAAAATTCTTAATGACAGGTGTGTAGGACTAAACCTGGGTTCTTCTAACCTAAAGTTAGTATCAGCTATTATCAATATAGCAACAGATTCTGCAGTTTTCAGATTTTTCTGTGCATGTTCAGTGCTTGTATTGAATTGTGTTCATGCCCTCATGTTTCTATTTTCTTGCAGAACTGGAAAAGATGGATACATCCAGATTGATGGAGGAGCCGCACAACATGGACAGTCTAAAGGCAGAAGCCTCATGGTCAACACCAAAGGCAGCATATACCTGGGTGAGTGGACTGAAAGTATGGAACGCCAAAACTGATAAAAATGTATTGAGAGTTTATCAGACAAGTTAGATATATCACTGAGTACATCAATAGATAATACCGTTGGTTAAATATATAAAAGGTAGTGGGAAAAAATATAAACCTTTATGCTTTTCCTTTAACAGTTACTAAAAAGGTTGTTTTTCTTTTTTTCAAAGCTTTTTACAGTTGATTAAATTAAATGAAATTTTAATATGTTTTACTCTTCTGTTTTTTTGTCCATCGATGCATATTTTTATTTTACTCTGTTTTCCCGTGATAACGAGATAAGTATCTCATGATCTCGAGATAACGACTGTTGTTTTCTCGTGATAACAGGATAAATAAAATAAATAAATAAAAATAAAGATTATAATTTTCTCGTGATCTTGAGATAACGAACCATAGATGAATACAGGGGTCAGCAGATGCGTTTCTTTGTGATAAATTTTGTGTTAATTTACTGAGTCAGCATTTAGCTCAGTTGGTAGAGCGCAGGACTTGCATCCCAAGAATTGCAGACTCAACCCCCGCTCTGCAAAGATTGTTTATTCTTATTTTGTGTGTTTTTAATCATTCTCTTCAACAAAGTTGAAGTTGTTGAGATTCAGGGAAATCCAATCACTAGTGATGGGCAAAGCGAGGCTTTATGAAACACTGAAACGTTTGAAGCAATTGTGCCGGAATGGTGTCGAGGCTTCGAAACACTTCGACACTCGTCTCCACGGTGACACCTACTGGTCACTATTGATATCGACACATCTTGGTAGGGGTTTCATTGAAACAATGATTGACCAGCGTTTACAAATCTAAACGTCTTATCAATACATAACCAACACAATTTCGGAGAAATCACCATACAACAAACAAACAAATGCCTTCAGATTGTCAGAGACAGCAGATGGTGATTGCAATAAAATCTTTTTAATGAAACACATCTGTGTGTTGTTTAATAAGTTATCACTCATTTAGCTGACGCTTTTCTCAAAAGCAAATCACAATTGCTGTGTCAGAGGGCGCAGCTTGAGAGCAACTAGTGGTGTCTTCAGGGACACATGTATCACAGTGGGAATCAAACCCACATCTCTCCCACTAAAGGCATTTGTCTTAACCACTACCCTATCCATTTTCACAATCGAAATACTTTATTGATCTACGAGGATGATTTCTTTGTTGCAGATACTCGCAAGGCATAAACACTATAGAAATAAAGTTGAAGTTATAGTGAGTAGAGAATTCAATAAAGTATACATATCTAAAATTATAGTAATAAATGTGGATATCTACAGTATTACACAGTAGCTTATTAATAGATGTGTAATGATAATTAGCAGGAAAGATATAGGCCCTAGTGTAATAATAATTAATAATTAATGAGTGCTGGCAGTGATGAGGTGTAATGGATAAAAAATCTGTAACTGAGTAAAGTTGAAGTTGTTTCAAGAATGATAAATGAAAAATGTCTCACATTTGTTATATGTCAAGATTTTTATTCAGAAATATTCAGCTGTGGCTGAGTCGTTTTTCTTTTCATAATTGACATCCCCAGCCTTGGAAAAATTTGGTGACATGGAACATTTGTTGCCGGCAAAAAGTATGTTTTGGCCTACAGGTGCCGATATACTACAGCACGTCGCTCCAATAAATAAAAGGATTGTGTGTCTTTGGAACAATGTCAGATGAGTTAGAGGCTGATGTGTGGTTTGTTCCAAACACTGTGAATCAAGCGTAGAAGCAGCAGGTGTGCCACCTGTCGAAACAGGGGTGAAACACACCGAAACCTTGCTTCACTGTGGTCACGTGACATTGACGTTTTGAACCACGCTTTGAAGCAGTGTTTCGAAACGTCTGTGCTTCGGTATCTCGACACAGCGTCGACACATCAGTATTGAGCATCCCATCCCTACCAATCACACATTTCCCGACATGAAGATACAGCACATAGTCATCAGGAAATGTGTAGTTAAATGGATTGAAGAATGGAATGAGAAGCGGATAAATTTCCTCTGCCTAGGAATGATGGGGAAATGAGAAGTCCATTTGTTGGTGAATGTGGACCAATTGCTGGGATGCGCACGCTCTAGCACGTGATTAATTGTGAGCATGTGAATCTTCATAAGAACTTTGTTGAAGAGGAATATGAAAAAGTATATATTTTTTAAAAACTGGTCTTCCATAAGGATCAAACTCACAACAACAAGTCATGTACCTTACTCACTGAGCTAATCAGTGACACTAAAATCACCATGAAATTACCATTAACAAACGTTCTTGCCAAATCCTGTGTTGCACTACTCTTTTGAGATCTTGTGATCTCGAGATCACGACAAAATTATCTCGTTATCGCGACAAAATCTTTTATCACTTATGTGTTTGCTATTTTTCTCACCACATTTCTAATTTTACTCCTGTTTATATGACAACTGGATGGATGTCCATGTATGTCCAGAGCACTGATTGGTCACACTAAGCACGAGCCTTTTCAGCTAGCTACCTAGCTAAAGCTAGCTTTTTTCATAAATGTACGCTGCACACTGCTGTAGAATGTCTTGTAACAGTAGTTACAGCATTTTAGCCGGTAAGCTAACGCTAACAAAGTTAGCTAAGTTACTTAATTAGTGAAGTTTATTTAAAGCTGTATCAGACAACATTTCCTCAAAACTGTTTTGTGGATACAAATGTTCAATGAGGAAGTTTATCACTGGTTGCTTATTATGTGAGTTTTCTCATTTGACAGGCGGAGCCCCAGACTTGGCTGCTATGACAGGAGGGAAGTTTTTGTCAGGAATGACGGGCTGCATGAGGAACCTGACACTGATGAACGCCCGGCCAGGACAGCAGCCAGCCCAAGCCATTGACCTGCAAGCCCATGCAGCCCATGGCATCAACGTGCAACCATGCTCTTCTTAGATTGCAGCACACAGACAAACACACACATAAACACAAACGCAGAGACTATGGAGTGATGCCACACACACACACACACACACACACACACACACAGCAGACTCACACAGAGAGACTTACACACAAAGAGGCTGACACAAACTTGGTGCTTTGCTGCTACCAAAAAAAAAATCAAGATGACACAACAAGATATGTTTCTCTGTGTGCAGTAAAACCAAAAAAGAGAGAAAAAATTAAACTATGTTAACAAGTCTTCTCTTCCTCAGTGTTGTATTCTCAATGAAGGACTATTAACACAGGAGAACCAGTACAGTTTACATACTTCCAGCAGTAGTTTTAGCCATGAGAGGCGTAAAAGTAAAACATATTAGGCCTTCTACGATGGGTCAGATCCTATGGAGTTGGAGATGTTTTTACAGCACTGAATTTTTATTTATATACATATGAATATATATATTATATTTGTGGGGGAAAACATGCAAACTAACCATAACTGCTCTTTAACTTTCCTAGAGTTTATTCTGGGTTCTAATACTGTGTGTCCAGGGCTTTTTTAGGCCTAACTGTATTAATACTTGAAGATATTTAGGCCTTCTCTCTTCACTTCTGTAGAGGAACCTCTTTTTTTGACACGCGAGCATGCTTACAGTCTTTTGCAAATTGTTGGAAGAGGAGCGCACACGGTCACAGTCACATGCAGCTTCAGTACACAACTCAGGTCGTTAAATACAAATTAGCAACCGCAAACGTTACATTTACTGCCGCTTTAACACGGCTGCTTTGCAAGTCATTCACAGCGCTGTTGTGTCTTCTGTCTGTTTTTTATTTTATTCTTTTTTATGAAAAAGAAAGAAACCTTGGTGCTATTGTCAGACATGAAGATACAGCACATAGTCATATGGTTTCCTGTCTCTCACATGTAGAAGTGTTTTTTGTGTGTGATTTGGTTACTTAGATAAAGAAACAGTCTAAAAAGGTATACGGTAGTGTAACATTTGTCTATATGCATGGCATTTGAGGTTGACTTTACTATAATATGGCATGATTTGTTGCCTCCACAGCCTTATTTGATTGAGTAGATCTCAAAAAACTGCTTTAAAGAGTTGAAAAGGGTGTCATTTTTTATGTGTGGTTGTTGAAGATATTGTTTTATGTGTAAAACTATCTGCCAGTCAGGTAGATATCGCTATTAATTGAGAATGAGTGTGTCTGCTAGTACATGTGTGGTTGTGTATGTATCAGCCTCTCACAGGTCACTCTACTTTAGCCCTAGTATGGAGTCAGGTGTGTGTTTGTGTGTGTGCACATGCATGTGTCATCCATATCCTCAGGAGGGTCAACCCAGAACTGCCTCAAGATGTTTCTTAAATTTCAGGTTTGGTAGCTTTAGCAACAATTCAGTAAGCTATAAAACTCTGAAGGCTCTGTGGTTCTATGGGTTGTTTTCTCTGCAGCGGGAGATTCATCTGCAGCCAACAGCAGTAGGACACAGTTGGGATAGTGTTTAGTCATGTGGGAATGCGGCGGAAGCTTCCTGCAGGTGCTGTGACCAGAAGTGTAGCTCGAATAAAGCATGCTCGCCCACCTTTAGTCGACCACACCTCAGTACCACAACGGCACGATCACTTTGGGGTTCACAAACTTTTTTCTCATTTTTGTAAGCTTAAAATGTTTGTATTAATATCCTAAAAATGAGCACTATCCTTTCTCTTAGACTTGCTTCATTTTAATTTATTTTAAGTTTTTCTTTTCCTCTTTTTCAACGCTTTTGTTTCAAGACTTGATTCTGCTGTTTTGGAGCACTCACAAGCAGCTTGCTATTATCTTTCATCTGGTTATTGTGTATTGGCTCCCACATCCCCTTGTTTTTGCCATCATGTTTTGCCCCCCCGGTAAGTTCCATGAAAGGTTAATACCTGACAGGAATTGCCTGGTCAAATGGTTAGAAACTGGTCTTCTTATTTGCTTATTGAAAAAAGTCTTAGTCTCCAAATACAACAAATACATTATTTATCTCCACAGAAAGGTGTCATCATGTTTGAATATGTGTTGTCAGGAACATGTGGATCGAAAAGAGCCACTGCTTTGCTGCAGGTTTAGGACACTGTAGCAGAGAATGATGTGTGCACTCCTTGTTGGTTGTGTATCTGCTCTTAAACTGGATTTTCATATATACACTGTACACTCTTGCCCAATGCAAAGTTGTCAAGAAACTGTCACTGCTTTTTGGTTATTTTTAGGCCATTGCAAAATATGAAAGGTGCACTTTTAGTAATGATGGAAATGTTCATTTAGAAAATTTAAAAACATTTTTTTCTGATTCACTTCTAAATAGCAGAAAAGGAAGATGACTCAGATTAAATGAATGATATTGTACCAGATATAATACTGTCCATGTCAGGATGACCTGACATCCATTTCAGGTGTTGAAAAAACACTCCCCTTGCCCTTGGTGTTTCTTAATTAAAAACAAAATTCATGTGCTATTTGTAATCTCGTGAGTTTTCTTTTTTCATGTCTGTACTGCTGTGTTATGCTTTATGCTGGGAGGGTTCTTGGAGCATTATCCCACAATATCACCTCATTGTTCCCAAATAATCCATTGTACAGGTAAGCCTTACACCCTTTCACTGAAAAGAGGCTTCTCAAATTTCCCACTTACCCATCTAGCAATGAATAAATCATCACTCTCACACAACCAAGGTTTTTTTTACTTACATTACAAAACAAATAATTCGCTTTTAAGACACTGTTAGATGCAGATGAGATTCTTGGAAAGACTTCAATAAAACATGTCCTCTTGTCTTGTCATGTCTTAGGTTTGTATTGGGGTTTTTTTGTGTGCCAGTAACAAAACACATTCCTGACATTTCAAGCATTTCTAGACTGAAAGCACCATAGCACCAGGCTCATCAGTGGCATTTAAAACACTGCACATGACACACTGAACCAGTGTCATCTCAATGACCAACTCTCTTCAACAATTTCTTCTGAATTGCTGTATTGTCACTCATATCTGGTACGATGTGTGCTCCTGTTCCACTAATAATAAGATCCCATCACAAATGTGCTCAACATTTGGTACATAATTGACAATAAACAATCTGAACAAAAAACTGACTTATATATTGACATATATAACACTGACTTGAATCATTGTTTTTTAAGAAATTGAGTTGTCAGAAACGCATCACTCTCTTGGCTCTGGGTGTGTCAGTTATTCAGTTATCAGTTATTCTACACCAAACCTGGTTATTTAATATATTACATATTTTTAATACAGTACATATTTGTGACATTTAACAGCAGGGCCATGGGTATTGCTGTTAAATACTGTTTAGGAAACACCTCAATTCTTAGGTCAGGTCAGTCACATTCTCAAGTTGCTCTCTCTTTCTTTACAACCCTCAGGGGACTCCATGATGGAATCTTTTCACTTTCACAAGTGTGTATCAGTGTTCAAAAGAAAGTAGGATAAGCAGTTTATGAAGGGACTATAACACAGGTAGAGATGAGTGTATAAAGATATGGTTAATCTGTAATAGTGAATACAAATAACCTCATCTCACAAGTCAGTATTTGAATAATGCATAAGCCAGTAATAGAAGGAAATCATAAAGAAAACAGTTGTGCTCATGTTTGTGACTGCCAGTATTATAGCTCAGGTTTTAGCAAATCCCAAATACTGTCAGTCAAACTCCACAGAGAGGTGGGAGAAGGAAGGGGCTATGGAAGAAACATGAACTTCCAGAGAGGGAGGGGCACTGGGTTTGCGGTGCTGCTTACTGTGCCTTTACATGATACTGAGGAACAACACCCTAACCCTAAAAATACATACTGAGATATTCTACAAACACCACAAGATCACTGGGGACCAATGCTGATCTGATCTTAAGGGTTAAGTTTCGGACATTGAAGAAGGCCCATTCAGTCCTGGCTGATCCCAGCCACCCTATGTTTGAGAAGTTTAGGTTGCTTCCTTCGGGCTGTAGATACAGGACACCAACATGCAGGACAAACAGTTTTAGGAATTCATTTGTCCCAACTGCCATTGCATTTTTTAATTATTCACTGTAATCCCATTTTGTTGTTTTATTGTTTTTATTATTATTATATATTTTTTATAGTTTGTTTTTTACTTTAACTGTGGTCTTTTTAACGTAGTGTATTTCTTTTGCCTATTTTGATATTGCTTGTTTGTGAGTCATGACTATTGATAGTTTTATATTGAATGCTGTCTGTACAACAAATTGCCCTTTGGGGACAATAAAGATATCCTTGACCTTGGCCTTGACCTTGACTGAAACAAATCAAATTTACAGAGCTTTGAGAAATGCTCACTGTACTGTTTTTGCATAATCAAAGGTTTTTAATATAATTGAAAAAATGTGTCTTTCTGATATTAACACTTGTATGTTCCTAATACTTTATATATAAAGTGTTGTAGTCCTGACAACCAATAGTAGATATTGGCTAATATTCACAGGATCCTCTATGTAGTATTGTTTCCGGTGCTACAAACCAACTCAACAAGGGCAAAATAAGGGCAAACATTTAGCATGTCATTTGATATCTTATGTGATGAGTTTTGCGCTCAAATGAATGGCCTTTACAAATGATGAGTAGATTACTTAGACTCATGTTTCTGGATAGCACTGTATCTATTTTAGTTACTGAAGACATTGAAAACTTTCCCTGGTCCGGTTTGTGGATACCCAATCAACATCACATCATTATTATATTCAGTCAAGCAACCTTTTATATTATTTTATATTATGAGTGCTTTAGTCTGCTTTGTTTTATTCCAGCTATGTTGCTACTTTGATACTGACCTGTCCCTCAGATTTATGTCAGGTTTTCATGCTGGTAGGATTCAATTTTAATTCTGACAATTATGATTTTATCTTATAAAGCTGTTGAGTTTTGATAAAACAAAAGAAAAGAAGTGTGCATCATAGCAAGACCTTAACATACATATGAAACATAGAGATGTATACATTCATGGAAAACAGATATCTTGACCTGTAAAACCCAGTTGAAATCTCTGAATCTGATCTCCATATGATATGACTGTTTAATGTTTTTCACTGTTTGGCAGACCGCAGGATGGGCTGGTTCCACTTGGAATGTTCCACAGGGCGGGGGGACTATGAGATACTCATTTCAGTCAGTCATCACAGTGTAGGACAGTTGTAGGACAGACAACAACACTACTAAGTGTTGCTAGATAAACAAAAACTTGTACTATAGCGTGTCTGCAGCGGCACATAAAATGAGATTGCAGAAATGTTAAGGTTAATATTTCTAGTAATTCTCTAGACGTTAATATCATCAAACTACATAAATGGCCTCTTTCTATTATTCTGACCACTCAAAGCGCGCTACACTACATTTCAACATTCACACAAACATTCATACAGTGATGGCATAAGCTGCCATGCAAGGTGCCAACTGCTCATCAGAAACCTAATACCTTTTCATACACACACTCCAGATCAAACCAGCAATCTTCAGATGACCTGCTCTACCTCTAAGCCACAGCCATCCCGCATAAATACCAACACTTATGCTTTCCAGTGTTAACCCCTTGATGCCGATTGTCAAGAATTCGCATCATACCTCTTCCTTGCAGACTGCAAGCCAAGATGGGACATGGATTCCCCCAGTGCCTGTGGGTGCATATTCGATACCTACCTAGGAACATTTTGCAGGCCCTGGTTTCTCGTTTATGCCTGTTGTCGCTAATTTGCGTCATACCTACACATACCTGAATTTATATCTTTTCTATGTTCTATAGACAAATTAACAATCTTCACTTAATTTAACATCAGCTTGAAAGCAAATGAAAACACAAATAATTTTATTTATTTTTTATTGTAAAAAAATTCAGGCGTTAAGGGGTTAAAGGAATAGTTAGATTTTTTTGGGAAATACACTACTTCACATGCTTGACCACGGTTAATTGAGAATAATGATGCCACTCTCACATCTATATGTTGAATATGAAGCTACAGCTGCCAGCCAGTTAGCTTAGCTATTTAGCATAAAGACTGGAAACTTTCTTGGGCAAAGCAGTCACTTCAGAAGTCCAGCTGGTTGCCTGGCAACCCTATTGCTAGAAGTGAGGAAGATTTATGTCAGAATAACTCTGAATAAACTACACCATACTGTTTTTACACTTGTGTGAATGAAATGGGATATAACTGTTAACTCTTAATGAGCAGATTTATTTACCCCTGGGCAGAGCAAGGCAATCTCTTTACCTTTGTTCCCAGCCTTTATGATAAGCTAAGCTAACCTGTTGCTGGCAATAGCTTCCTCATTTAGTGAGACATTTTAGTCTCATCAGAGAGCAAACACACACATTCTCTTGTTGCAGGGTATTTCTTCTTCTTTTCACAATGTTTATAAATGTATGCTGTCATTAAAAGAAAATAATGTCATATAATTAGCTCTCAAGGTGTTGTTATTACAGCCTTCACACATACTTTCTTAGAAACAGGATGTCTGTGGGTTCATTACAGTCAGGGTTGCATGCAAATTGCATTCAAAAGCACATTTCAGACCCAGACTTCAGAGAGAATTGTTGCTAAAAAAAAAACTCCATATCAACAGTTGACAGGTTAACTCCAGCTTTGTAATTAACACAACAAAAACAATGATTTATGTGGTTACTAAGCATCAGGTGATGATCAAATCATCCATTCAGAGAGGAGTGTCTGCTTGTGGACAAAACACATTTTTGTATCATAACATAAACCTACCTCCTCCAGATCAGTCCTGTGTAATCTGCACTCCTTTCAGATTTGTCATATATAATCTTAATTTATTGTTTCCGTCATCATTGAGTCTTTACTGCATTTTAATATATGCGTCACAAATCATTTTATTCGTTTGACCCAAGACACAAAAAAAGACTGGTCATGTATACATATCATTGGTGAGAGTAGTAAAATATATTTCCTATTAAGGGTAAACTCACAAGTCAAATCCCAGGTATTTGCTCATTTACACATTTGTGTTCATTAATCTGTGCTCCTGTGAATCTGTTTTGTGAACTGAATGAGCTAACAAGGGCTGAAGGTGGACCTTGTACTTTAACAGCTAGGAAGGCCAGCCCACAGTGCTAGAAATTAGATTAGCCCACCATGAAATCCATTTCACTGGAATCACTTTACGTAGGGACAGTCCGGAGACTGACACAGTTACTACTAGTTCAAGTATAAAATATGTTTTTCTTCTAGACATGGTTAACTACTATTCTGTTAATGTGTAACAATAACTGCAGTCTACTTGTTTATTGAATAATCTGGCAACATTAAGGAATTCTTTAACTTAGCAAAATAATAGTGCAATATGCTGCCATAGGTCAGTGGGCATAATACTAGGACCATTTTGGCAATTGTGGTGGTACATTATACACCATGAATAATTAAATTGTTATACAGTTAGGACTGAGACATGCTTATTATCTCTCACACGGAGTTACTCTGTTAATAATAAAATATACTGACTACTTACTCAGTTAAGAGTTAATTATTGAACTATACTGTCTAATCAATGCCTGATCCCCAGAAGGGGGAATTTGAGGTAAAGAAATAATAGTTTGAGTAAGTCATTAAGTCTCAAAAACAGGTGACCAAACAAGTTTCAAACCCCAATAGAGTTATGTTCAAGCTAAACAAATGAGGTGTTCATTATTTGCCTACATGCCTAAATAGAGCAACTGTAGACCAGTGACAGCCAATACAGGAGTGGGCTGCTGGTTTTAGCCTCTTTACACTGTCTCCAGCATGATTTTAAGGTTCTTTTTATAACTTACAAGACACTAAATGGTCTGACCCCTCAGTATATCTCAGACTTTTTAGCATTGTACGACCCTGCTTGCACTTTCAGATCCTCTGGCAGGAGCCTCTCATCTGTTCCAGACTCTCGTCTAAAGACTCAGTGGGACGGAGCTTTTAAAATAAGAGCCCCAAGGCTCTGGAACACCCTGCCTGAGGAAATACGGCAGGCTGAGTCAGTAGCTTCTTCTAAATCTAAGCTGAAAATTTACTATTATCGCACCACCTTCCATGATTTCATCTGATTCTGGTTTTCATTCCGTTTATAGGTTTTGCCATTCAATTTTTTAGTGGTGTTGTTAATATCTTTTATTGTTTGTTTATAATTATGTTATGTTTTATGTGTTCTTTGGTTGCTTTGTAAAGCACATTAATAAGAATTGTGTAAATTAAAGATATTATTATTATTATTATTATTATTATTATTATTTGGACGTCAGTAAGCACAACATCACCTGACTTTACTTATAGTATCTTGGACCCTGCTCGAGACTTGACTGTTGCCTTCCCCAGGCCATGCACTTCGATGTAGCTTTGCAGTTACTGCCACCTGATGCCTCAGACTTTCCCACCGATTCTCTTTCTCTAACCATCCTGTCAGTAATTATTCCATTAATTTAAAAAAGGGCGTATCATGTAGTCAGCCATCTACCCATCTACCAAGCACTGGTGAGGTGAGGTGAGGTGCCTGCGCAGATCGTATTTTCCTTTTGTTGTAATATGACAATTAAATCTACCTTGAACCTTGAGATAGACCTAGTGTGAATTTGGGACACACCTAAGCCCCCTGTGTGCTTATTTCATGTTCTAACAAAATCCAGTCAACAGGACTTTTATTACAGGTTAAGCATGGATGTCATGTGACTGAAATCACATGACTCCAAGAATTCATTTGATTTCAGAGGGTAATGTCACAGAAAGGGACAGGGATATTGTCAATCAGGAAGCTCCTCTGGGAATTGCATGACAAGGTCAGTGACATAGGATTCTGATTAGATTATTGTTAGGGATATAAATATGTCATAAATATGCCAACATTAACGTTTTTGAAGTGTCCCAGATTACAAAGTGACCTGTCCTTGATGATCAAATTCGGACATTTTTCTTTTTTTGGGGGGGGGGGAGCTCAAACAACACTAATAGGTGTGCATGTCTCATCTGGCTATGACATCTACATTGTGTGGATTTCAGAAACGTCTAATGTATTTGATAGACATCAGAATAAGTCTCAGAAGTCAAAATTGCACACACAAAGAAATCACAGATCAACCGAATTCACCATATTGGGCAGAGCATCATTGTGGAAAACACTAGAGCGAAAGACTGGTAAGCAATAGGAGCGTCATTTCCGGTGGAATATTCCAGCGGATTTATCCTTGGTCTTAAAAAGGACGCGCCGAAATAGCGACTGACTGTGACAGGTAAACGGCCTGATGTGTATGCTATTAACTGCGTTGTAGCAACTTTAAACACACAAGTCAGTTAACAGACAGGTAAAACAGGTCAGTCTGCGTGAAAAAGACAAAGGCAGAGACAGTAAGGTCCCGCGTGTACCCTTTAGCGTTTAGACGTCTCCACCAACGGATTTATCTAGAGTTTGTAATCTTTGGAGGTCCTTTTGAGGTAAGGCGAGACGCACTATGTGTGGTACATTTATCTTCCTTTCAATAGTGAATGCCTGTTTTACAACACAATATAAGATGCTTTGTAAATTACCGGATCATTCGGTTATGACGCAGTTACAATTTCTTCATCTTTTAAAAAAAAATGCAGGAGTATTTAACAGCTCCAAATATGCACCTGTTTAGTTCATTTAAGTGTTATTTTCGTGACTCCGGGGATGATTTTAAATAAGGTAACGTAGGATGAGGGATGAGAAGGCTACTGGTGCTGCGAGTAGATCGTTGCGCATTAAGGCCCCCGCTGAGCAGCTCAAGTAGAAACCTACAGGTGCTTTCAGAAGCAGAATCATGAATCAGAATCGAGAACGATTTAGGAACACCCATGGCTGAATTATGCGGCCTTATATATTAGGCTAGAGATTTTACCTGTATACTTTTAATGCAGTTCAAAAGATAGAAAAGCAAGACAGACAGAGTTGTTGTTGAGCACACAGGAGGGTTTGTTGTTACACACGCGGCCTACACCCAACATCAAATACTGATTCGGACATAATTTGAAAGACCAGCTAATAAACCTATAACAGAAATAAAAGGTAGCCTACACTTTTTAAAGTGATGCAATTGAGTGAAGAATTTCCTTAATAATTGAATATTTACAAGTGGTAACAGTGTAGTTAAATGTCTAGGCATATGATTACCAGGACTGATCAGTGATCACATAGTTTGTGGGATGATGATGATGATGATGATGAATATGTAGTTAGCTTTTATTTTCTTTTTCAGGCAGTCACAATATATTTTAATATGTATCCTAATATGCCAAACATGTATAGACAGTTCAATATAATGTGTGTAATGCATATGTAAGTAAGCAGTTTATTATTATTTTCTTTTAATCTTGCAGCTGTTGTGTTGTGATCCAGAGACAATCATGATCCTCCTGACTCCCTCCTCTGGTAGGTACTCAGCGTCATTTGATAATCTGGATTACTGTACACCTACATGGGCATGGGTGCCAGAGATTAAAGCCTAGGTCTACATGAATCAAATTAGGCAAGAAAACAGCTCAGCTATTTTTGCTGAGGGAGTTTTAAAGATGCTTGGACTGAATAAAATGGGCTAAATAATTTAATTTGTTAACGACAAAATGTTTATTACATGAATAGCATCTCATGCATACAATGCAGTTATAATACGCAATTGTAAGAAATTAGGTGCAGGTACACATCAAGACCATAACTTGATGTGAGATAAATAGTTAAAATCCTGTGTATGTGTACTGTGTTTTTAACACAGCACACATACACATACAATGTATACTTTGCATAGTTCATACAGTTTGAGGATAGTTATATTATTTAATGTTTTTTGTTGTATAAAATATTCAGTCATGTTAGTATATATGGTGAAATTACATTACAAATTCACAAACCACACACAATATAATGTATAGGAATAAATATGTTATATATAATTAATCAGTTTTATCGCCTTTTACTTTTACTGTATCTCACACACAACTCACTTAAAATGTAAATATTTTATATCATTCAGTTAGTTTACTTCAGATTATCCCAGAATTGTTTTTCTTGTTTTTTGTTTAGTTCTTTTACTCTTTAGCAGGTAACACAGCAGAGTATTAAATAACACGGGCCATCCCATCATGCTTTGCACTCATTAGGCAGCAATCCAGAAATAAAGACTTGGCAATGTGTCTGGCTCTGGCTTTATCCTCTTTTTATTAGTGACCAGTGACCAACAGTACATAAAACATGACCGTAAGATCAGCAACCCCCACAGACGTTTATGCACATGGAGATGCACGTGTGGCTCTCTGCTAATGGTATTTACTGTGAAAAAAGTGAATGAATCTGATTGTTCATTTAGCAAGCTTGACAGTTACTTGATTTCTAGAAAACTTATGTGCTGTGTTTACTCAAGAAACATTTTCAGATAATACAGTAATTCAAATACCAGGTTGTAACTTGTGTTGAAGTCCAAATTAAGAAGTAAAAAAGCATGTTTTCAAGTAAAAGTGTAAGTTAATGTTGGCTTGTTGCTGTGTCTCATACGCTGTTTTCTTTCAGATGAAGAGTCTCTTGAACTCGCCTGGCTTTGGAATCACAGGAAGTTCAGGGTGAAAAACACTTAAAGGGTTGCTACTGCAACATTTAAAACTATTTAAATTTTGCAGGTCATTATCTGTGCATACTGTCTTGGACAGTACTATGACTTGAGTGAAAGTAATAAACTCACAAGAGAGGAGGCCGACAGAAAACAAAGATTTCTTTGTTTGACTTCATTAAAAAACATCACAGCTTAGTGGGGGCAGAGGCAGTGTTTGGCTGGAGCAAGGCGCTGTCAGCAGTCATTTCATCTTGCTGACTAAGATGTAGCTTTTACTGTTGTTCATACTGCAAATTTAGTTTTCAAAACAGCTAAACATATCATGTGAATGTTACAAGTTTTACAAATTGCATATATGCCCTAATAAAACTATATAACCCCTTGCGGTTTAGTATTTAAATATAAACTGTACAACAACAGACAAAGACATGTTAATGCCACAATTTCCATTAAAACCTAGTCTGTAGTGGTATTAATAGATTTGAACAATAGCTATGTGAGTGCTGCTGCCACGTCCTTGTCTCAGGTCACCACGTTTGATCAGAGTAAACAGAATAATTGATCTCACGTCTGGTATGTGTCAATGCAGTAGGTCCAACACACACTCACTATTTCCGATGGTGTATGTGGTAGTCCCCTAAATGTCCATAGCTTGTTCCCCATGCCAGTATTTGTGTGTATTTCACCCCTGATGAGATCACAATTGAGTGCTAACACCTCACATGCATCCTGTTCAGACATTGTATCCTTTTTGACATTTGTCCTTTCCAAATATTATCTATTGATATTAAAGTTTATGCATGTTTGTATCAGTTTAAATATGTATAATGTTTATTGCATAGATATAACTGATAATGTAATGAGTAGATAATGAGACACTATGTTGCATGCTGTAGGCTGCGCAGGCTGATTGAATGAATGTACAGTAACAAATGCATTTTACTGATCTGAATATGGATGAATGTATCGTAAGGTCGGCCTCCATCCAATAAACATACGTCTTGGTAAGTGATGCTTCTTTTACATAAGACGGGAATCAGTTTTTAAGTATAATATTTTGCTTTAAATACAGTAAGGAAAAATAAAAAAGAAACACACATATGAAAACCATTGCTACAATTTCCTGCAATGTGGATTCCCACTAGAGGGTATAAAAATATTATTTTTCAGTTAAGAACTGGTAAAGCATTAAGATTACTTTCAGAATCTTTTCACTTTTTTTTCTCTCACTCCAACTGAGGATTGACTCAAACTGGGATATAATTATTAAACTATTCCCATTCAGACATATTCATCAGAAGGTCAGCTGGTATGGTCGCCCGATCATGGTAGGGATTTAGCTTTAACGTCTTAAACCTCCAGCAGAGGTTATTGACCTAACAGACAACTACTAACTGCTGTTGTTGTGTGGTCTCAGGTCTCTTCCAGTGTACCAACAAGCTCTTTTTGAGTGATCACACCACAGGAATCCACATCAAGGAGTTTGCACGTAAAAATGCTGCTAATGCTCTATCAGTTGCCAACATGGTCATGGGCATGGCCTCCATTCTCAGCAGTCTCAGTGGGTGAGTGAACACATCCTCATTGGATTATACAATTTGGTACAGTCAGAGTCAGGTTTAGCTGCAGAGTGGACAAAAATCTATAGCTTGGTTGTAATCAATGTAAAATAGAAATTCTTTAAAAAAACAAACAAATCCCTCTTCCAGACCATTAATTTCAATGAAAATGTTGGCTACATTATTCCAATTTGAGTAATTATGGTGGCCCAAATCTGAGAACACAACATTTTAGAAAACCTGTCACCAAAACAGAAAACACAGTATTTCACTATAAACAAATTTGTTTTTTTGTATTTTATGAAATATTTTTGGTTTTCTTAATGCTTTTTTATAAACTAGTGTTTCATTTTTGCCCCTCAAAGCCACCGTAATGTAAGTAATGCTTGCATGCATTTATGATTCAGATCTCTGGTCTTACCAAATGAGCTATATTAAGTGCAGTGTAAAGAGATATGGGCCAGTGCAGATAAGAAAAATCTGACCTAAATATGACAATATATATACAGGGGAAAGAGATTAACTTTATGTAACATTGTAGAATTTAAACAAGCATTAGTTTCACCCTTTTTCCACTTGTGAGAACCTGTAAATATTTTACCCTTTTGAAACGGGTTGCTGTCATCAAATAGCTACAGCTAACAAACTTGCTTTGTTCAGGCACCATCATGCTGCATGTTGGCTGGTTCTGATTGGCTACCTGCTGGATTTGGCAGATGGAGCAGTTGCCAGGCGACTCGATGCCTGCTCTGCATTGGGTAAGTGGAGTGTTTTGGTCAAAAGCTCTTACCAAAGATAAACTTCAACTGGGATCTTGGCAGGGCTTGCTGCACAGTCCTTTATCTGGACTTTGTAATTTGGCTGCACAAAGTCATAAACAAAGGCAACCAGTAAAAGGAAACACTGCCACTGAAATACTCTGGCTAGTCTTACAAAGTCTGCAAGAGAAGAATCATACATATTTTATGTAATGTAATTTGAGCTTTATCAAATCAGTCTTCTAGCTGTATATTTCAACGGTCTCTGCGGGTTATACACTTAAGGGTTGAGTGTGAATAGCATAACATCTCCTTTCATCACCCAATGCAAATACACAGCATATAAATTGTACCACTGTGGCTTGTTTTCAAAAGATCACAGCACTTTATGTAGTAAATCAAGAGGCACAAATAGCTGGTTTAACATTGCTTCCGTTGCGAAAGTTCACATTTTCTCCAAAGCCCAAAATAGCTCCCAGGTGCATCACAATATATCGTTGGCTGCACTTTTCGCTGGGCTTTGTGTCCCGACAGGGTTTTTCTGCATGACTTTGCGGGTGGATGTTGTTGTGCCCCCCATGTATTTTGTGAAATGAACAATCACTTTCTGATTAAGCAGCCTAATTCCACGGGCTCACGCTCCAATTGTCTATTTTATCCCGTTGCTTTGGGTTCTCTGCATATCTGAAATTGCTAAAATTGTTGACCCTGGGCTGTGGAATTCCACCTCGTTCATGGCCTGAATCACCTCATCCTCATGTGCTAAAAACATGCTCCGTGCTCCTGAGGGAATAAAGAGACAAGGCAGTGGAGAATGTTGTTTACAGAAAGCCTGTCCGTTGGGCTGACACTGAAATTTCCACTTGGAGAATTTTACACATACAAATCCCACTGTCACCTGTCAGTAATATTGGCAGTGACCATTCTGGAGAGATGGTAACATACCTTCACTGGCTTTGATAAAATGTAAACTCATGACTAAGGCACTGTTGAAAGGCAGCTGGTGCTCACTTGTAGATAATTCAGAATATTTTTAGTACGGGTAGTGTCTGTCAACAACACCAATACAATTCATATCTCCTTGTGAACTTCACAGAGCCACATTTAGTATTTATATTTTTATTTTTCATGTTCAGGTGCCAAGCTAGATGATTTTGCTGACTTCACGACCTTCGGGATTGCCACGTCGTTGCTTCTAAGGACACCTGACCTGGTGGACAACATCCTCTGCGTGTGTTACGTCTTGTCTGTTTTTGTTCGCCTCTGTTTCTTCTCTAGCGGTAAGTTCCAAAATGTAGTTATTTTATGCTGCACATTTGAGTCTGTCATTTAAATTCCACTTTATTATTTAAATGACTAACCAGAGATTTTCTTGTTTGGTCCTCAGGGATCCCATTCATGTATCGCGGCCTGCCCTGCATCTACTCCTCAGCCATCCTGGCCAGTGCCTCTCTGCTGTCAGGGGGAAACATGGCCTTGCTGCGGGTCATTGCAATGGCCATGATCCTCTTTATGATCAGTCAGAACTTCTACCCCCATGACAGAGTGCTGGAGTCCCAGGCGTGGAAGAAAGCAGTCTATGCTGGAGGTAAAGTCACTTGTTTAAAAATCCACTATGATTCATCTTTTTTGAACAAGAGCATGTCTGCTGAGATTAATCACTGCCAGAGTTGATTCATTATAGAAAAGCAATTTCAAATTAGATTTCAGGTACAACATCTAGCATGTGGTAGCAGTATCTACCTATGTAGATAGTTTTGGTTTTATTTTTAGAGGTCTGACATAGCGGTCTCTACCACCAACACCACCACCACAGTACAATCAAAGTAAGTAGAATATAAATTTGTGCTGCTCAAAGCAGCGTTAAATTAAATTTGACCCACTCAACAGCAATGCATTTTTCTTGCAACAATGTTTCTTTCTTAACTCAGCATAATCTACAGAAGTCAATGCAAGCTGTTTTCCAGTGGATTATTTGTAGCTGTGCTAGTGTCATTGATCTAAGGAAAGCCACGTTATCAAATCTCTAGGTGGTCGGGCGGTTGGTCTACCACTTTGATCCAGACTGGACCAACATATAATCATGGTGCCCAGAGGATGAATCCTCATGAATGTGGTGACCCCAGAATGTTTTCATTTAACACCTATAGTACTTGATGCTTTGGGAAAAAATGTTGTACCTGATTCCCAAAAGATTTATTATAATGATAATTTGATGATCCCCTGAGTTTCCCTGATAACTTTTAATCTAGAGTTTACATCAGATTATTTTTTTAGCAAAACATCACATTCCCATCAACCTCAGCTGTACTTTGTGTTTAGTGCTAATCCACAAATGTTAGCATTATCATTGTCAACATGTTAGCATGCTGACATAACATTTAGTGCAAAGGACTGTATGTATGTACAGCTTTACAGCCAGTAGTGTGACCGTAGCCGTTTTGTATGCAGTTTTAAGGAAAACAACGTAGTTTTGGGATATTTGGTTTTTGGATTATCATAAGTAATCCAGCAATACATGCTGCTGTTGAGTTTTCAATTGTAATTATTTAAATTACTTTTTTTACTCAACTTTTTTATTTCCAGGAGTCATCATGGTGTTCTGCTCTTCATTCCCCCCTGCATGTGTCTACTACCTGCTGTGGTCTGTGTCCTACATATTGTTCCCAACATCCCTTTGGAGCAGTAAAGTGTAAAAGGGGTTCTGGCTTTTTCCAAAACTCCCAAATAGGTTAACCTCTGGCACATCTGGGTGAACCGAGGCTTCCTGCCATGGAGGATCCAACCTGAACATGCTCATGCGCCACAGGCGAACACTCGCTCTATTTAACCTTTATTTTAATGTGACATCTCTAAAACAGAACTCAGATTCAAGAGAGTTAGAGTGAGTTATGAGAAGGGCATTTTAGTGTTACTGGTAAGGATGAACCTTCATTCTGTCTTATGTTTTCATTGCATTTTCACTGAATCCAGTGGTTGGGTGGCTTGTTCTAAAAACTGAATTTTCATTAGGATTATCTCATACTTTCATCATTGTTCAGTCACCACATGAAAGCAGGGCTCATAATTTTCTCCGGTAATAAAATAAACAGAAAGGATTTCAAATGAAATAATTACCTGAAATTCATACATATTGTCTCAGTTTTTTTTCTAATTGTGTTAGCTGACTGTCAGTTAATGGTTGTATTGGGGGTTGGGGTCACTTCATTATCAAAGCATTCAGGTGAGGATAGGCATTTCCCAAAATCCACTTTTTCCATTTTGTCCGGGATTCATATCCAGTCATTTATAGAACTTTCCAACATGATGATGTAGTCATTCCTGTTATCTGATTTGCTGTTTGAATGTATGTTTGAAGTAAGTTGAATTGAAAGGCAACTGATCCCAACCCTGGTTTTGGTGCATTCTGGACAGATTTTTAGTGTTTAAGCCTTATAGCTTTTTACCAAGTTGTGACTCTGTCCAAGAAACAATGTTTGATTTACATCTTTCTTTATGTGTGATTTTATTTGGTCATTGTATGTGTTTCCCTCTGTTTTAAGAGGAATTGCAGTTTAAATACTAAATCCGCACTGGATCACATCTCATAGTAGTCCTGTGACCACAGCTGAATCAGTGGTGTCGCTGCAGGTGTTTCCATCACTTGTCAAACCACCCGTGACATCAGTCATGGAGGTTGACCAGAAATGCAACACTAAATAGGACTGCAGCAGCAGTTTTCTTCCTCATGTGATTCAGTGTGAATTTACCTTTGAAGTACAACACACTGGCTGCAAATCCTGCTTTTGCTGCCATCTAGTGGGGGGGAAAGTTCACCACGCTGCAAGGTCTGCTTGCACCTTTTAAATGTTTTGAATCACACTGCACCACAGTCAATATTGGTTTTGCTAACAAATGCACCAGACAACCGAAACTTTAAACCCTCAGACATCAAAAAGGAGAGGATACGTGTGTTGTTACTCTTTAACTTGGCCAGCATTCAGTCCATTTTGTAGATCAGTCATTTTTTAAGGAGATCTTTCCGGCATTACTCATTGTGTTTCACAATGTGGATTGCCTCTCTGCATAGGAACTGTGTAGACTTTGTGTAGAATATGATGAAGCAAATAGCACAGAGTAACAGGCTTTATCTGTTCTCAACAACCCTAAAAGCTACTGATGCCCCATATTTCAATTTTGACTCACTCCACACCTTCTGAAAATCTTTTAAACTTGTAACCAGAGGTGTCAGAGCTGTTAATGAGTTATCTAAATGAGTCTCCTCGCCAGAGCTTTCTGAGGGAAAACTGACCAGAATTTCATAAATCAAGTAGATGAATACAATGGTCATATTCTGGTTTTGATAATGATTTTAAACCACTTGACATGGTTAATGACAACCAATGTTGTGAAAAAATCTACTGTGTAAGTGTGAACACAAATCTTGCACATTCAGCTTTCCTGTGTGGGTGTTTTGGTTTTAAAATTGTAAAGTCCCAGTAATGCATGCCAAGAGCATTATAGATACAACAAGTGTACTTTACCCAATGATAAAAAAAGATCTTAATGAATAAGATCTGTGCTTCTGAGTCTACATTATTTGCAATAAAGAGGTAATTATAAAATGACTTGATTTCACTGTCCTTAATTCATCACCATCAGTGTTTCATTGTAAAACTGTGACGTTACATAGTTATTTTTAACTTGTTGGAGGGTTACCAATAAACCAATTCAGTGGTAGACATTTACCAGTAATGGATGTGACATTGCATTCTGAGAGATAATCACACGTGATAAGTTGATCATTTCCTGTTAGCCATAGTGTTGCCATTATTTGGTAGCATGTGAGCCTATGACAGCAGTCCTGCCTTTCTGTTATACTCAAGTATGTCTATGTCCTCAGGAACACATATGGCTTCTATGGACGCTAGATGCAGTGAGGACTCCAACAGCTTTATGATGGCCGAGAATGCAGATCAATCTTTGAAACTTCATCAGAAACCCAAAGTTTCTTTTCAGCACTGTAGCCAGGCTGACAGAGAGTCACAGCTCTATTGAGCCAAGTATTCCCATAGCTCTCAGTAGTTACGATTTCATGAGCTTCTTTAATAATAAAATTCTAGCTATTAGAGACAAAATTCACCAAGACCTGCCCTCAATTGGCACCGACTTATCTCTTAACTCAGGAACCTTAGAAACAGCTGTAGAACCAGATACATGTTTAGACTGTTTTGCTTCCCTCAATCTTTACCAACTAACTTCAATAATTTCTTCATCTAAACCATCAACCTGCCTCTTAGACCCCATCCCGACTAGGTTGCTTAAAGATGTTCTACCCTTAGTCAGCACCTCTATACTAGATATGATCAATCTATCTTTATCAACCACAGTACTTTAAAGTAGCTGTAATTAAACCTCTTCTGAAAAAGCCCAAACTTGATCCGGATGTTTTAGCCAACTATAGACCTATATCTAACCTTCCATTTCTCTCTAAGGTTCTGGAGAAAGCAGTTGCTAAACAGCTGTGTGACTTTCTACAGAGCAATAGTTTATTTGAGGATTTTCAGTCAGGATTTAGAGCTCATCATAGCACAGAGACAGCACTGGTGAAAATTACTAATGACCTCCTTATTGCATCAGACAAAGGACTTGTCTCTGTACTGGTTTTATTAGATCTTAGTGCTGCATTTGATACCATTGACCATCAGATCCTATTGCAGAGGCTGGAATATTTCATTGGCATTAAAGGAACCGCTCTAAGCTGGTTTAAGTCCTATTTATCAGATCGATTTCAGTTTGTACATGTTAACGATGAGTCCTCCATGCACGCCAAAGTTACTCATGGAGTTCCTCAAGGATCTGTCCTTGGACCAATCCTCTTCACTTTATATATGCTTCCTTTAGGCAATATTATCAGGAATTCATTGTTATGCAGATGATACTCAGTTATATCTATCGATCAAGCCAGATGAAACTCATCAGTTAGCTAAACCTCAAATGTGCCTTCAGGATGTTAAAACCTGGATGACCTGTAATTTTCTCATGTTAAATTCAGATAAAACTGAAGTTATTGCTCTGGGGCCTAAGCACCTCCGTGACGCATTATCTAAAGATATAGTTTCCCTGGATGGCATCGCCCTGGCCTCCAGCACCACTGTGAGGAATCTTGGAGTTATCTTTGATCAGGACATGTCGTTTAAGTCTCACATTAAGCAAATTTCAAGGACCGCCTTTTTTCACCTACGTAATATTGCGAAAATCAGGAACATCCTGTCTAAAAATGATGCAGAAAAACTAGTCCATGCATTTGTTACTTCTAGGCTGGATTACTGCAATTCCTTATTATCAGGCTGCTCGAAAAAGTCCATTAAGACTCTTCAGCTGATCCAGAATGCTGCAGCACGTGTTCTGACAGGAACCAGGAAAAGAGATCACATTTCTCCTGTTTTAGCTTCTTTGCATTGGCTTCCAGTAAAATCCAGAATAGAATTTAAAATCATTCTTCTTACCTACAAAGCTCTTAATGGTCAGGCACCATCTTATCTTAAAGAGCTCATAGTACCTTACTACCCCACCAGAGCGCTGCGCTCCCAGAATGCAGGGTTACTTGTGGTTCCTAGAGTCTCCAAATTAGACTAGGAGCCAGAGCGTTCAGCTATCAAGCTCCTCTCCTGTGGAACCAGGTTCCAGTTTGGGTTCAGGAGGCAGACACCATCTCCACATTTAAGAGTAGGCTTAAGACTTTCCTCTTTGATAAAGCTTATAGTTAGGGCTGGCTCAGGTAGTCCTGAACCATCCCTTAGTTATGCTGCTATAGGCCTAGACTGCCGGGGGATTTCCCATGATGCACTGAGCTCCTCTCTCCTCTACTTTCTCTCCCTCTGTATGCAACCTTATCCCATTATTGCATGTTACTAACACAACTTCTCCCCTTTCTGGTAGTCTTGTGCTTTCTCGTCTCTCTCCTCTCTCCTCCTATCACTTCCTGCAGGTTTTCTGGCTCTGGAGCTGTGGAGTCTGGAGCTGTGGCTGCGGGTCACCTGCTGCCCCCGTGTTCCTGCTCGACACCCTCTGCTGCAACGACTATTGTTGCTAGTCTTATTGTTATTATTGTTATTATAATCATTAACATTACGATGGTTACCATTAACACTATTATAAATATCTGTACCATTTTTCATTTAGTCTATAGCAACATTACCTTCACTGTGTGTACCTCTATGTGTATATTGTGTAGGCTGCCTCCCACCCCTCTCTCTCTCCTTACATCTCTCTCTCTCTCTCTCTCTCTCTCTCACCCCAACCGGTCGAGGCAGATGGCCGCCCACCCTGAGCCATGGTTCTGCTCGAGGTTTCTGCCTCTTAAAAGGAAGTTTTTCCTTGCCTCTGTCGCCTAGTGCTTGCTCTTGGTGGGAACTGTTGGGCTTCTGTAAATAACATCACAGAGTACGGTCTAGACCTGCTCTTTTATGAAAAGCGCTGTGAGATAACTGTTGTTGTGATTTGGCGCTATATAAATAAAATTGAATTGAATTGAATCATACCTAAAAGAATACAAAAGTAATGTAAAACTAAACTAACAACTTTGTTAAAAGAATAGTTCTGCATTTTTGTAAGCTTAGCTTTGTCCAAGATAAAATCAATCTGCCTAATAGCACCTCTAATTACCTGCAAACAGAACCATGCTAGCTGTTCCCCCTTGCTTTTAGTCTAAGCTAACCGGCTGCTGGCTGTAGCTGTGATAGATTGATTTTATCATAAAGTTAATTAAATAGTCATGGAGACAGAAATAAATAATTGAAGAAAACAACAAGAAACAAGCAGTCATGTGGAAGAGTTAATAGTGACCAATGTGAAAGAGGGTAAAACGGTTAATGGTTAAAATAATTACAAACTAGTTTATTAACAAAAACAATTGATCCCTGAAGAAGGACAGGTTGCCGTTTAGTTGTCATGCCTACAGATGTCAGAAGGGGGAGCTCTTGGCTGCAGTACCTCATTCTCAATGAAGTTGATTTAAAGAAGGCATCGTGTCCAAGATTCCTTATTAATATGTCCCCTTTCAAGGGTGTAACATTTTGGAGGCACTGCTGGGATGAATGTGATGAGGGCCAGCTGTCCCAGATAGACGTCCCCGAGCATCATTCAACCCCCCACATCCACAGCCAGGGTGGAAGATACTGTGTGGTGGTCCATCGACTGCGCAGAGAGACCTGCAAGCAAGCTGAGGTTAACCACTGGTGACAGGAGAGCTGCATTGTCTACTCTGCTAAGAGAAGGTTCTGCATCACACATCATTCAACCCTTCATATCTACAGCTAAGGTGGGCAATAAAGTGTGGTGGTTCAACAGCCGCGTAGAGAGACTTGTATGCGAACTGAGGTTAACTACTGGCGCCAGGAGAGCTGCACTGTCTATTCTACACAGAGGAGATTCTGCATTCTCCTCTCTCATCTCAGATGTTACAAGCCACTTAGAGAGGGAGGAGTTAAGTGAACTTTAAGATCAGGGTATGGCAGAGCTATTAACTCTGAAGGATAACATTGATGAGTTACAACAGGCTGCTCAAAGTAGTGTACTAGAGCGGGTAGCCTCAGAAGCCAACCAGACAGATGTGCAAGAGCATGTTATTCAGCCTTTGGAAGGAGAGCGATTGAAAAAAGAGATAGAGACACTACAGTTAGCTTTAGCACTATCACTACAAGAGAAACCAAACCAAATATATGGGACAAAACAGTCAGTGAGTGGGTAGGGTAACAGTGTTAAACAGCAACACGTCTCTGCTCAACAGACTCCCCAACCTCGCTTATCATTACAGTGGGGCAGAGAATTCAAAATATCAGGCCAGATTGGTGAGCCGGGACAAAAAGACAGAATCACCTTCTCCAGTCTCGATTTGAGGCAGAAAATTCTGTTTGCTTAACAGGAAGCAGAATCTGGTCTAAGATATGTTCCTGCCCTTGTACAGAGTATGTTTCTCCATACAGTTCTGACAGGTCTGCAAAACGATAGCATTAGAAACGACCTTCAGCCGTACCTGCAACAAACAACAGTAAGTGATGAGCTGCTCCTGGAGAAACTCAACATCACCTGCGCAAACAAAGCAGAGAGGCAAAATAACGAGGAGATACAGTTCAATACAAACGTGTGTTTGCACCGCAGCGCCAGTATTATGCCCCAAATCGTGCACGCCTGAGAAAATGTATTGGATCCCAGCAAAGTGGAAGTGAATACTGCACCCATTGCTACCGATGCGGTAGTAGTGAACATTTCCTAGCAGGTTGCAGAGTGAGAGGGACCAGACAAGACAAAGACAGTCCTTTAAACGGACGAGGGTTCCCCCCTCGGGACAGGGAGTAACCAACAAGGGCCTTGACTTCTGTGACACTTTGGTAAAACTCAGAAGTGGTACTTCACCATATATTGCTCTTGATGTGCAAAATCCCACTGATCATGATATCGAGTTGTTAGGAAGAACTGTGGTGGGTGCCGTACAACAAGTTCAGGCTGTGTATCCAGCTACCATTTCAGAAAAACCTGATCATTGCCCTTCAGTGCTATCGAGTGAAGTGAATGTAGAGAGTGCGCAACTTACTGACCCCCCATGGGACCCACCAATTGATCTGAGCCATCTGGGTGAATCTGAAAGAGTAGTGGTGCAGATCATGCTTTGTGGGGAATGCTGCTCTTTTTCCAAATCAGATGATGACATTGGATGTATCGAGAAACTGAAGCTGAGCATATCGTTGAAGGATGTGGATCCTGTAACACGCACTTACTTGTCTGTACCAAAGCCGCTATATAAAGAAATGAAAGAATATCTGCACAACCTTATTGCACAAGGATGGGTAAAGAAATCCTATTCACCTTATGCTTCACCAGTTGCCTGTGTGAGAAAAAAGGATGGCAGTTTACGTCTTTGTATAGATTACAGAGAGCTAAACAAAAAGACACATCCTGACAGACAACCAATTCCTCGAGTGCAGGACATCCTTGACAGCCTCGGTGGCAACTCATGGTTTTCATTATTGGACCAAGGAAAGGCCTACCACCAGGGTTTTTGTGGATGAAGACAGCAGGCCTTTGACTGCATTTGTGACTCCATGGGGCCTTTATCAATGGATAAGGATCCCTCATCAGACTAATGAATGCACCCGCAGCCTTTCAGCGCTGCATGGAGGAGTGTCTGGAGGAGGTGAGAGACAACATCTGCGTCCCTTATCTGGATGATACACTAGTGTACAGTCAGCCATTTGAGGATCATGTAAACAACGTCAGAGAAGTGCTTAAGCTGTTGAGGAAGTATGGGATCAAGCTAAAACCCAGCAAGTGCGGGTGCCCCTTTATGACTTGCTGAACGGCACGACAGAAGACAACAGTACACCACAAGACCGGGTTAACAAAAGACAAGCTACAGGAAGGAGTAAAGCTGTACCATCACACAAACTAATTGTGTGGACTGAAAAACACCAGTGCATACTGGAGAGGCTGATAGACAGTCTGGTTGAGCCACCAGTCCTTGGGTTCCCAGACTTCTCAAAGCCATTTATCCTCCATACAGATGCCTCAAACCAAGGACTGGGGGCACTTCTGTATCAACGGCAGGATGATAAACTCTGTGTAATAGCCTACGGTTCCCGGACGCTGACTTCCTTTGAATGGAATTCCACTCAGGAAAATTGAAATTGCTCGCCCTAAATTGGGCAATCACAGAAAAATTCCAAGATTACCTTTATTATGCGCCTACTTTCACTGTATTTACTGATAATAATCCCCTTACCTATGTCTTGTCATGTGCCAAGCTTAATGCAACTGGATGCAGATGGGTGGCGGAGCTTGCAGACTTCCATTTTACCATCCGATACTGTCCAGGTAAGGAAAATGTGGATGCTGACAGTCTGTCAAGAATGCCTGTAAGTACTGAGGAAATTATTAAGCAGTGTACAGAGGAAGTGGCATCAGATTGCATGGCAGCGATAACCCAAGCTGTTGAGACTCAAGACTCCAGCTCATCAAGGGTCTGTCCAGTACTTACCCCATTCCAGTGTACAGCAGAGTGAAAAGACACACAAATCACTATTAGTTACTGAGATTCAACAAGCACAGCAAGAGGATGAAAACATTGGTCCAGTAATACAGTGCAAATTGAGAGACAAAAAGCCAACAGGACGTGAACTTAACACCCTCAGTATGCAAAGCAAGCTTCTACTGCGTGAATGGGAAAGACTTCATATTGATGATGGCATTCTTCGTATGAAGACAACAAACAAGACACAACTTGTATATCCTGAGAAGTATAAAACCATCGTACTAAAAGAGTTGCATGATGAGATGGCACACCAAGGCATTGATCTAACAACATCACTGATCAGGGATAGATTCTTTTGGCATTACATGCAAAAAGACATTGAACATTATGTGGCGAGGACCTGTACATGCCTGAAACAAAAGACACCATGTAAAGAAACACCTTCACCTCTTACCAGTATCGTTACTATGCAGCCATTTGAACTGGTGTCAATAGATTTTCTCCACCTGGACAAATGTGGAGGTGGGTACGAATATATATTGAAACTGTCGCTGATCGAATATTTAACGACTATGCTCTGAAGTTTGGACTGCCACTGCGGATACACCACCATCAAGGTGGCAAATCTGAGAACCAGCTCTTCGCCCAGCTGAAAAACAACTGTGGGGTACTAGGATCACGAACGACACCCTGTCATCCACAAGGAAATGGGGAAGACAAATGTTTCAACCGCACATCACTGCAAATGCTAAAGACACTTACAGATAAACAAAAGACGAACTGGAAACAATTCTTGAACAAATTGATCTATGCTTAAAACTGTACACAATGTGAAGTAACTGGTTTCTCCCCTTTTTACCTTCTATTCGGAAGGTCTCCAAGGTTGCCTATTGATCTCCTATTTGGTTTCACCACAGAGACAGGAAAAACAGATCATCAAACCTACATGGAGAAGTGGAAACAAGAAATGTAGGAGGCATGAGATAGTACAAGAGAATGCAAAGAAGTCGGCAGAGAGAAGTAAGAGGCGTTATTATGGAAAAGTGAGAAGCTCAGTGTTGCATCACTGTAATCGTGTCCTTGTTTGAAATCTGACACCTAGAGGAGGCACTGGAAAACTTCGTAATCCCTGGGAAGACAACATTCACGTGGTGATCCGTCAGGTTGGAGAAGACATCCCCAAGTCAAACCTGAGCAGGGAAGAGGAAGATCGAGAATCATGCATTGCAACCTGCTGCTACCATGTGACCACTTACCTCTGGAAATCCAGCAAAAGGCACCATCTAAGCAGCAGAAAAGAAGGATGATTGGGACAGATGTAGAAAGTACAAACCAGGACGAGGAAGATGCTGAAGAGGAATGCGGTTACTATTTCTAGCCTGTAATACAGCCCAAAGCAGAAAGAGGCATTGAGCATGCCAACACACAAGCAGATAGTGGCCAAGAAACACCAGTGCTGAGCGATGATAGGTCATTGGTTGGAGAAAAACACATAGCAAGCACAAATGAGTTTGAGACACAGTTGGAAGATGTGCCACAGGAAGAAGATAATCGGAGGGAAGATGTACAATCAGTTGGAGATGCAAAGGATGAAACTCCACCCCACAACCAGATTCAGGTAAAAAACACAGAGCGCAAGAATATGCCTTACCAAAGAGGGAAAGACGAGCCCAAAAAATCTTCACCTTTGATCACCTTGGGACTCCAAAATGCTATAGTGTAGCATCAGATAAAATGCCTTACCAGTATCAGCCCATACCATATGGAGTTCAGCCAGTGACAATGTGGACCAATCCATTTCAAGTTTACCAACCCTTATTTGTGCAGGGATACTAGGCATAGAACAGATTTGAGACAATAAAAAGATCACTAGCTTTAGCGGGCAGTACCTTTAAATTTAATGTTATGCTGGGAACAGTCATTCCATTGCCATCACCTCAGATACATAGTTTAGAATCCTTAGTTCATAAAAGATGTGATGTCGGGACGACATCTTATTTTGCAGGGGAGTGTGTGAGAGATTGATTTTATCATAAAGTTAATTTCATGGACACCTATCTGTTATATTTGACTTTTACCTGTCTAAAAAGAAGAGAAAGATATTTTTCTTGTTCACTTACCTATGAGAAAAGCTAAATGGCGTGATAACTATAGTGTGTTGCACTACAGGTGAAAACAAGTTACCTTTTATGTTTGAATGACACTGTAGTCCTTACAAACTGTACTTGCCTTCTGTTAGTGTGGTCCAACAACAGCATTGTCTATTTGTGATATTATAACATAGCTTTTGTGTACAGCGTCTTGAGCACAACTGTGTTGACATATTGCTGCACAAAGAATATTTTCAAATATATATTCTACATTGTGTCATTTCATAAAGATATTATATACGCAGGAAACTTAAACATTGCAGTATAATGTATACTCAACCTGTCTTATATCATTGTTAAAATATTTTATATTGGAAAAGCTTTTGTACAAATGTAACTATTTCTTACAAAATAGTGATATCGATCTTCTCATCTAAAAAGTGAAAAAAGCTTGATTCCCAAAATGTCTTCATCATTTCAAAAAGAGTATTTGAATGAAAATGAAACTTTCACAAGTATAAGTTAAATCATTATAATGAGTTAACCAAGAGACAGTATATTACACCATGTCAAGTGGGCCTATTTCCTACACAAGTTTACTTACAAAGGTCCTCCACAATTGTCTGGTCTCTTCATCCGATAAGACCCCTGTAGCTTTGGAAGCACAGAAGGGGTCTCCATCTCAGGATATGGAGTAGAGCCTGAGACAAAAACAAACTATTGTTGAATAAATAAATAAATGTGACTTTAATGGCAATGGGTGACACTGATGATAGTGTCTATCCAATACTACAAATTGTAGAAATCCGTACGTTTAAAATAAGCTCATCTGAAAAGGCAGAAAAACTGATGGTTTAAAGAATTTGCTGATAGATAACAGAACATGCAGCTTTACCTAAGGTAATCAGTTCATACAGTAAGATTCCAAATCCAAAAACTCTGCCCTTACACGTTGCTCCTGTTGATACTGATCTGCATCATAATCCTCTCTGGAGCCTGCCATTTGAGAGGCACCTCTGCTGCTCTCTGCCTAATTGCTAAATCCATTCTGCGTCCTCCAAATGCCACACCTAGCCCAGACACCCAGGCTGAGAGGCCTGGGCAAATAACGATTTTCCTGGCAGCAACATCACCATGCACCAGCCTGTGCTCTGACATCAGGTAATCCTGAGGGAGGAGACAATTACAGCTAAACACATTAGTCTTTGGTTGAAATATTCATTTAAAATTCTAGAGAAACTACACTTTTCCCGTAGTACATGAGTTCATGACCTGCTGTGGCTTTCACTGGAATCACTTTACCGTAGGGGCAGTCCTGAGACTGACACAGTTTCTACTAACTGAAGTATGAAATACACTACTCCTTTCTTTACATAGTTGAATGTGCTGACAACAAAATCACACAAAAATGATCAATGGAAATCAAATTTATCCATAGCATCAATGACTTCCTCTTCAGGAACTGCTGACACACTCCAGCCACATGAGATCTAGCATTGTCTTGCTTTAGGAGGAACCCAGGGCCAACCGCACCAGCATATGGTCTCACAAGGGGTCTGAGGATCTCATCTCGGTACCTAATGGCAGTCAGGCTACCTCTGGCGAGCACACGGAGGGCTGTGCGGCCCCCCAAAGAAATGCCACCCCACACCATTACTGACCCACCACCAAACCGGTAATGCTGGAGGATGTTGCAGGCAGCAGAACGTTCTCCACGGCGTCTCCAGACTCTGTCACGTCTGTCACATGTGCTCAGTGTGAACCTGCTTTCATCTGTGAAGAGCACAGGGTGCCAGTGGCAAATTTGCCAATCTTGGTGTTCTCTGGCAAATGCCAAACGTCCTGCACGGTTTTGGGCTGTAAGCACAACCCCCACCTGTGGACGTCGGGCCCTCATACTACCCTCATGGAGTCTGTTTCTGACCATTTGAGCAGACACATGCACATTTGTGGCCTGCTGGAGGTCATTTTGCAGGGCTCTGGCAGTGCTCCTCCTGCTCCTCCTTGCACAAAGGCGGAGGTAGCGGTCCTGCTGCTGGGTTGTTGCCCTCCTACGGCCTCCTCCACGTCTCCTGATGTACTGGCCTGTCTCCTGGTAGCGCCTCCATGCTCTGGACACTACGCTGACAGACACAGCAAACCTTCTTGCCACAGCTCGCATTGATGTGCCATCCTGGATGAGCTGCACTACCTGAGCCACTTGTGTGGGTTGTAGACTCCATCTCATGCTGCCACAAGAGTGAAAGCACTGCCAGCATTCAAAAGTGACCAAAACATCAGCCAGGAAGCATAGGAACTGAGAAGTGGTCTGTGGTCACCACCTGCAGAACCACTCCTTTATTGGGGGTGTCTTGCTAATGGCCTATAATTTCCACCTGTTGTCTATTCCATTTGCACAACAGCATGTGAAATTGATTGTCAATCAGTGTTGCTTCCTAAGTGGACAGTTTGATTTCACAGGAGTGTGACTTACGTGGAGTTACATTGTGTTGTTTAAGTGTTCCCTTTATTTTTTTGAGCAGTGTATGTTTTTCTTCTGGACACCACCTTACATGATTTTATGTATTTATGGGTTTTGCCATTTAATTTTTTAGTGGTTTGTTAAGAACTTTTATTGTTTGTTTATAATTATTTTTATGTGTTTCTATGTTATGTGTTATGTGTTTACTTGCTTTGTAAAGCACATTGTAACATTTTTAATAAGAACTGTATAAATTAAAGATATTATATTATTATTATTTGGACATCAGTAAGCACAACATCACCTGACTTTACTTATAGTATCTTGGACGCTGCTCGTGACTTGACTGTTGACTTCCCCAGGCCCTGCATTTAAATGTAGCTTTGCAGCTACTGCCATTCTCCCTCCTTCCACCTGATGCCTCAGACTTTCCCACCTGTCCCAGTCACCCAAATCCGCATGCTCACCTGATTCTCATTCTCTAACCATCCTGTCAGTAATTATTCCATTAATTTAGAAAAGGGCATATCATATAGTCAGCATCTCCTGTAGTACTGTGCAACCGAAGGGTCTGTAGTGTCCGCGGTGTCTGGTCTTAATGACTACCACCCTATGGCACTCAACCCTATTCTTAGAAACTGGTTCTCCAGCACATAGAGAACAATCTCCCCACCAGTCGGGACCCTCACAAGTTTGCTTCCAGAACTAACAGATCTGCAGAGGATTGCATCTCCACTACTCTCCACTCAACCCTCACACAACTTGAGAAAAAACAATACCTACATCAGGGAATCAGCATCACAGAGAACCTGACATGTACATCGCACAGCTCCACGGTGGTGAAGAAAGCTCAGAAACGGCTCTAAGGACACTTAAGAAGGCTAAATTCCCATGCCACATGATTATCAACTTTGACAGAGGAGCATTAGAAAGCATCCTGATTCAAAACATCACTAATTGGTATGAGATGCACAGGTCCATGCCGGAAGGCTGTACTGCTAACGTTTAACGTTTAACGAAATCACATGACTCCAAGAAGTCATTTGATTTCAGAGGGTAATGTCACAGAAAGGGACAGGGATCTTGTCAATCAGGAAACTCCCCTGGGAATTGCATGACAAGGTCAGTGACATATGACTCTGATTAGATTATTGTTAGGGATATAAATATGTCATAAATATGACAATGTCCTTATGGTTATCAAACTGTCATGGCTTAGATTTTGGTGCTCCTCCTTGGGGGTGCTTGACTGGGGGGGGCTGGGCCCCTGTCCGGGGATGAGATCGGCCTCGGGGGCTGCTGTCACTGCCTGCACTGTAGGTAGAGATGCCTCTGGCTGGGCTGGGGGACCGTTGGCCTGGTTCTCCCGTGTTATCGCTCCCTGGCGGCAGGGAGCTTCCCGGCACTGCTTTTTATGCTGTTCTTCCTTGGGGCGGGGTACAGCTTCCCCCGGGACATGCGGTCTGGGGTCCTTTGCGCTTTGGGGGGTCGCAGGGTGTCCTGGCTTCTGGGGGTGAGGGTCTCTGCGCGGGTTGATCCGATTGCGGTTTGGTGGGCTGCGGTGGGATTGTGGGGCGATTGTCGATGCATCTTGATGCATTATGCTTTTTCCCTGGGCAGGGTCTCTGGATGGCTGCTGGGCGTTTAGTTTGTGCATTGGAGTCCGGGGGAGGCATCTCCTCGTTGGCTTGGAGGGACCTGTTTGCGTCCCTGTTTTGCTTCGTTGGCCTCGGATCCATGCTTCCCCATTTCTCTGTCGGTCAGTTGTTGGACCCCTCTGGATACTGAGGTATATAGTTTTCGGGAGGTGCAGTGTGGGTGCGGGGCAGGGCTGTGCTCCGGTTTGTTCTGGGTTTGTGCCTGGAGTTCTCGGCCCTTGATGGGTGGGTGGGTTGTTGGTGGCATGCAGCTGAGCTAGTTGATTTTGCCTCGTTGCTGGTTTGGCTGGTGTTGCATGGCGGCCGGGGGGCGCGCTGGGCATGGGGGATGTCGGCTGGCGCCGGCGGCCTCAGTTTTTTCCGGTGGTTGGGGGGACGATGGCAGACTTTTATTGGCGGATGCACGGTGACCTGTGCGGCGCGTTTGCTGCCGGGCTGGGACTTGCTGCTGGTGTTTCTCTCCGCTGGCTTTCGCTGTTGTGTTTTCCATTTGCTCTCTCTCGTTTTGCCCGACCTCGCACGTGGGATTCGCCGCTGCTGGGCATTGGGTGTCGCCGTGCTTGCGCAGTGTACGCGTTGGGCTCGTCACTTGTGCATTGGTGCTGATGATTGGGTGGCATTTGGGCATTTTGGTTGTTTGCTGCGCAGCGGTGGGGTGCTGGGTGGGGTGGAGCACTGGTCTATGTTGTGTGCGCGCCGCGGTCGGTCCGGGCGTTGCTCTTCCGCGGGTTACGCTTTTTGTGTTCCGTCGGCATTACGTTGTCAACTGGCATTTGGGTCGGGGTCTTCTGCGTTTGCATCGCAGTGCATCTGGGAGTCTTTTATTATTATTTTTTATTTATTCTTTTTCTTTCTCCCACCCTATTGGCTTCTGGGGTTCTTGCCTGCCTGTTACAGTCGTGGCGTCCCACTCTCACTAACAACTACATTCTTTAACAGGCTTATGCGCACACACATGTACACACACACACATACAGACACATTCACCCACACGCACACAGACACAAACAAACTTAGGTTGTCCCTGGTAGAACTTTTCCTGATGCCTTTCTTTCAGTTACTTATTTAAATTAATTATTATTCCAGCTCTCGTGGCTGTGTTGTGTTGCTTATTTAGTGTGTGTGACTGTTTCTTGTTTTCATTGTTCTCTTAGTTGTCTTAATATGTCAGCTGTTTATTGCTGCTGTTCGGCTGGTTGTCTTTTACTATTATTATTATTTTAATAAGTTGTTTTGTTTGTTTGTTGTTGTGTTTTCTCTCCCCAAGCCCCCCTCTCTGTTCTATTGCAGGTTTCGTTGCTTTCTGCAATTGGTGTTTCCCACAGCTTTTCCCTGTTGTCCCCACCCTCCATCCCCCTTTCCCCCTTCTCTTACAGGTGTTGTCCTTTCTCTGTGCTGTCTGTTTGTGCCCCCCATCCCCGTGTCTGCCCCCTGTCCGGCCGGTGACAAATCAATACATAATTAAATAAATAATAAAACAGACAAAGAAGTATTTTAATACTCTCTTGTTAAAGTAAAATCTGTCTGGCAAAATATGGTATCCAGGTCATTATACTCTATACCAGGCTGCTGGGCAGGACAGGTTTAAAAAACAAACAAACAAACAAACAAACAAAAACTATCATGGCTGCCGCCGGCACCCGTCTCTAATTTACCTGTGCTTGTGAGTATTTGTTATGCTGAGCAGGCTGTGCCAACCCACGCTGAGGATTGGCCGTAAGATGTGGGGAGGCCCCGCCTACTTCCTGGGTTCCTGTGAACACGACATCGATTGGTGCGGCATGCTACTGCTGGCCAATCAAGGAACGCCAGTGAAAGCCACCACCTGTTTAAAAGCCTGCTGGATTTGCAGTTTGGGGCAGTTATCATTCCTTTTTTTTTTTTTTTTTTTTTTTTTTTTTTTTTTTTTTAAACCTGTCCTGCCCAGCAGCCTGGTATAGAGTATAATGACCTGGATACCATATTGTGCCAGACAGATTTTACTTTAACAAGAGAGTATTAAAATACTCCTTTGTCTGTTTTATTATTTATTTAATTATGTATTGATTTGTCACCGGGCCGGACAGGGGGGCAGACACGGGGATGGGGGGGCACAAACAGACAGCACAGAGAAAGGACAACACCTGCAAGAGAAGGGGGAAAGGGGGATGGAGGGTGGGGACAACAGGGAAAAGCTGTGGGAAACACCAATTGCAGAAAGCAACGAAACCTGCAAGAGAACAGAGAGGGGGGCTTGGGGAGGAGAAAAACAACAACAAACAAACACAAACAAAAAAAACAATAAAAGTAATAATAATAGTAAAAGAAAACCAGCCGAACAGCAGCAATAAACAGCTGACATATTAATGACATATTAAGACAACTAAGAGAACAATGAAAACAAGAAACACACACACTAAATAAGCAACACAACACAGCCACGAGAGCTGGAATAATAATTAATTT